GAACTTTCAACTTTTTATAATGTGAAAATTTTAAAAATAACACAACAAAAAATCTGAACAAAAATAAAAATAAAAATACAATGTGAATGTTCACAATAAACAACAAATATACAACTAATTTTTGAAAAAAAATAAAACACATACTAAAGTACAATATGAATGTTTATAATAAACAATAAACATACAACTAACTTTCAAAAAAATAAAATTCATACCAAAATACAATACGAATGTTTACAATTTACAATTAAGATACAAATAACCTTAAAAAAAATAAATCCATACTAATGTGAACATTTATACAGCAATGTGAAAATATAAAATAAAAATAAAAAAGTAAAAATCGACTATTTTGATTGTTCAATGGTAACAAAAATGATTGTTCAACCAACAAGCATAATAACAAAAATAATAAACATACAACTAACTTTTGAAAAAAACAAAACTCATACCAAAATATAATATGAATATTCACAATTCACACTTTACAATTAACATACAACTTAGCTTAAAAAAATAAACTCGTATCAATGTGAATATTTACACTGCAACGTAAAAATATAAAATAAAATTTAAAAAAATAAAAATCGACTATGTTGATTGTTCAATGATAACAAAATGATTATACAACCAACAAGCATAGTAACAAAAATAACAACATACAACTAACTTTTAAAAAAACTTTTTTTAAAAAAAAACTCATAACAAAATACAATGTGAATATTCACAATTCACAATCAACATACAACTAGCCTTAAAAAAACTTAAGGCTGTGTTTGGAGAAGCTTTCCAAACACATTTTCACCCATTGTTTTGAATATGTTGTTTGTTTAGAGTTTTTAAAAATTAATTCCACACCCACTTTTGAAAACTCTTTCCAAGACAGAAAATTTAAGCTAACCGGTCGTCCTCTCAGACGTCCGGCCGCTTGACTGAAACAGTGCTATTTTTTTATTTTATTTATTTATTTTTTGCAAGTGGCACCTATTGTTTTTTATATTTTAAATAAAAAAAAAATTAGAATTTTTAAATTTTTATGAGTTTTGAATAGAATTTTGAATCTTGTGTTTGATTATGAGTTATAAGTTTTTGTATCAAATATCATATGTCATATCAAAAAAATTTCACTCAATTCAAAACTCATTCACCAAATAAATTTTTCACACTCAGATCATAATTCTTATACTCACAAACTCAAAATACAACTCTATTCTCAAATCATATTTAGAAAACTCTATCAAACACTACCTAAATTCATACCAATGTAAACATTTACACTGCAATATGAAAACATGAAATAAAATTGAAAAGAAAAAAAATTGATTATTCCGATTGTTTAATGACAACAAAAAATAATGGTTTAAATAATAAATATAGTAACAAACAATATACAAAAAATATCAAACAATATATAAAAAAATCATCAAATAGTTCATATATATTGACACACCTTTTTAGAAAAATTAGTATATAATCAACGTCGGTATAATACCAGTGAATAAACTACACAATATCAGTGGTTACACAAATTGATGAAAAGATTATGATTTATGTGTAACAAAGGCAAAAAAATAATTGTTCATCATCGGTTTACTATCATCTCTGTTGTGAGTCCATCATCATCTCTATTATCGGTTTACAACTAACATTCTCTTCCAAATGTTCTTCTATGGCAGGACCTTAATGCAAAATAATGGTGAAGAAAGATCCTCAATTAAGTGAATCCCTCACATTGAGATAAAGAAAATACTAAGAATAATAATCTTCCATATATACCACAAATAAAATATATCTAATAATTGATATTTTCTCTCCTAAATATATAGTAATATATATATATATATATATATATATATATATATTATAATCAAAATCTATAAGAATAAAATAGTTCACATAATAATTCTAATAGTTCACCTATTAGAATATAAGTCTAAATATATAAGACTTGATCGAACATTGTAAAACTTTACGAATTTATTGGGTTATAAGTCTACTAAATGAAATTCATAAATAAATAATATTGATTTTCCTTTTAATATGTTTATATATATTGTATATATAAGTGTATAATTAAAATTTTAATTGTAACTTTAGTCTTATACGTAAATATGAATTTATAATTTTTTTAGTTCGTTAAGATTTGTGAACAGACTCGCACTCGAGCTTGAGTCAAGTCTAAACCAACTCGGTTCGTTAAATTTTTATTGAGTTGGAGCTTGAAAAATTCATTAAAATTTTAATAAATAAGACTAAAGATACTAAAATTCAGTTCGACTCGACTCGATTGCAACTAGTTATGAGGTATGTGGTTTGCTTAATTATGAGATTTTTTAGTAATTTATGATTAATTCTGTTATAATCTTTGTGGTGGTTGTTCCTTACAAGAATATTATGATATTTTTATTATTATGAATCAATTTAATTTTGATTATAATCCAAATTAGCGGCATGAATCATTATGGCTTAAATTTTGAGGGTTTTAAAGTGTGCAGAATAACTCTTCCCTTCTGTAAACATTATTTTGTTGTTTTTGTTTTGAGAAAATAGATAACAATGCCTTCGTTTATGAAATGGGTTGGTTGTTTGATTTTTTAAAATTTTTTGGTTATTAACTTGGGCTAAAAGTTTTCGTTTTGAGCGAGTTTTTTGATTTTTTCTTACTTTAGTGATAGAAAAAATGAAATGATTATAGTTTGAATATGATATTTTGTCATATTAACTTTTTAACCCATTTTATCTTTTTGTAACTATTTTAACTTCAACCTCATATGCCAAACATAGCTAATAGCATAACCAAATATCTGTTAAAAAAAAAAAAAGAATAATTAAATACAGTCGTGCTAGAGGCCTCAAAATTTCAAGGCTCGAATGTTTCGAATCATGTCTTTTTTGGAGAAGGATGGTTATATGTAGGGATGTGTTAAAAAACTAGATATTCCTCGCCAACTCAACTTGTGTGGTTTGATAAGGTGAATCGATTGGGTTAGACTGATTTGATGATAAAATTGACTGATCAGTTAGACTACTGATTAAAATTTGTTAATTTCATATAATTTTGTACAAATCCCTACTATATTTTTATTTTAAATCAAGAAGACTCGAAGGAAATTGAGCAGCCTAACTGATCAATCAATATTATCATTATCAAACCACATAGGTTGAATTAGTACGAGATGTCTAATTTTTTAGCCTACACATAACTACCCTTGCCAAAAAAATCAAACCAACACAAATAAAAATAAAAAAAAAGAAAAAGAAAATTCAAAGCATTGGAGTTTCAAAATTTCGGCCCTCAATAATTTTTCAATTAAATAATAGTATATTTAGCAGGTACGGCGGCTTATCCGTAACATTTTTGACTTGGACTTAATGCCACCCATCCCCCCCCCCCCCCCCCTTTCTTTTTTTTTTTTGTTGTTATTTCTCTCTCTTTTTTTCTTTTTCTTTTTCTTTTTTCTCTCTCTCACTTGCAACCAAACAAGAGAATTTTTATTATTATTATTTATGTTTTTGTTTTTTTCTTTTCTATACTTCATAGTTTTTTAGCTTTGGAATTTCTAAACTATAATTTTTTAGTTTGGAACGGTGAACAAACGAGTCGCAAGGATTCTATTCTGGTTAATTCTAACTTCCAAGGCCATCTATTCAAATTGAATTAAAAAATTTCATTCGACACTCAAATAAACAAATTCAAATTTTAGTAAAATTGTCGAGTGTTATTTTGGAGTGGAAGCTATGGGTTAAAATAAAAGACTAGTGGAAAGTTCGGACAAAAATGCCCGACGTATTAAGTTTGATTTGGACAAAATAATTGAGTGACAGAAAGGCCAAGTTTGGCATGAGACAAAAAAGACAAAAAGTCAAAAAGTCACTATCCTATTTAAGTCACATCATCTTATTTAAGTCATATCACCTCTCTAACACATCACTTCAAACCCAACCCAAACCCAACCCATATTTCATAAAAAGTCAAAAAGTGCACTTATTTAGTCTTCCCAAACTAGGCCAAAGTCTCAAATCAAAACCCAATTTAGTGTGTACGCTCGAGTAGAGGAGTTGAGGGAATTTTAATTTACTCAATTTTAAGTTTCAAGCACAGATAAAAGGCGAAGATGCCCCCCCTTTTTTTCTTTTTTTCTTTTTTTCTTTTTTTTGTTGTTATTTCTCTCCTTTTTTTTCTTTTCTTTTTCTTTTTTCTCTCTCTCACTTGCAACCAAACAAGAGATTTTTTATTATTATTATTATTTATGTTTTTGTCTTTTTCTTTTCCATACTTCATAGTTTTTTAGCTTTGGAATTTCTAAACTAGAGTTTTTTAGTTTGTAACGGTGAACAAACGAGTTGCAAAGATTCTATTCTGGTTAATTCTGACTTCTAAGGCCACCTATTCAAATTGAATTAAAAAATTTCATTCGACACTCAAATAAACAAATTCAAATTTTAGTAAAATTGTCGAGTATTATTTTGGAGTGGAAGCTATGGGTTAAAATAAAAGACTAGTGGAAAGTTCGGACAAAAATGCCTGACGTATTAAGTTTGATTTGGACAAAAAAATTGAGTGACAGAAAGTCTCAAATCAAAACCCAATTTAGTGTGTCCGCTCGAGTAGAGAAGTTTCGAGTACAGATAAAGGGCGAAGACGATGCTATTGTAGTCCGCACAGAGTGCCAATGTCAAATTCAAGAAGTTCCCATCGGTTGCTTGGCCTCAAAAGTTGTTTATCCATTTATATTGCAACAATACTTCCATGTAACCTACCTACAGGGTTGAAGAGGACCCAAAAAACTAATTTAATTAAAAATAAATATAATCTATCCATATGCCAGTATTGCGGTTTTACAGCCATCTTAGCAGTGAGCTTAAAGCTGCATACTCAAATCTCATGATTCATCTACATGAAACAAATTCATAATTAGGATCCAGAAGCTCTACTGTCAATTTTCAAGAGTTTTTCCAATCATAACAGGGGTGTGCCAGTTTGTTTTTCCAAACAAGGATTAAAGAATGCATTTCAGAGTGCAGCAAACTCAAAAACCATATCAATAAAGCATCAGGTAATTACAACATCAGAAAGCAACTTTTGGTGTAGTATGCATGTGTATGTAACACAGATAACTAAGATGCTTGCCGCATCTGGACAAAAGGCGATCCCAGAGGATGGATGAATAATATGTGAAGAATATATGCAAACAAATATTGAAATTAGCAAAAAAGAAACATATCAACCATAGAGGATCCGATCAGTCATTACTTAAACAAAATGCTTAGATCACGCAGTATTCTCTATTTCTCCTGTGTTTTCACTCGTCAAGTGCCGGCTTATGTTCTTCTTACTGAAACTATGGATGGAAATATAATCTAGATGGGTTTACTTAAGTCTCCCATTCCTTTCTTGCAATCTTGTCCCTGCAAAATAAAAATGACAACTTAGATTAAGTATAAAGATATATGCCTCATCTTTGTAGAATGACATTGTTTGTTATGCGTCAACATACCGAGTCCATTAGCCTCAGATGTCCTCATGATTCTAAGTCTCTTCACGGAGCTAAGAAACATCCTGAGATACAAATGACAACAAAACACTATTAGTAATACCATGATCAGATCTTTTCTCCCTTGATATTTGAACAAAAAGTGTAAATATTTTAGGCAGATACTCATATTGAGTCAACAGTCAAGAGCACAAGGGCGTGCCTCTTACTATGAGGGCATCAGTTTATGCTTGAACCATGAACTGCCTATACAGATTACATAAACACAACACAGAAACATATAGGTTGCCTATGATTTGCGAAAACAAAAGAGCACGGAATTTAGTTTATTGCTGAGAAATTTGGTGTTAGGATGATTTCATACAATCAGATGATCTTGCTTTGTTTTGGGGTTATCGAGTCATATACTCAGAGCCTGTGTAGTAGAAGGCATCGCCCGAACTTCCTACATTGTCGCCACAGTAAGCCCCTAGTGGACTGTGCATTGCCAAATAGTTGATTGGGCATTTGCCTAACGCTATGTTTGGTTGGGGGACTTAGGAAGAGATTTGAAAAGAAAAAGGAAAAACACGTGTGAAAGTAGATATATTTTATTCACATTTTACCTACCTTTCGCCTTCTCTTTCCAAATTCCTTCCCAAATCCCCAAACCAAACACAACGTAACTGTTCAAACAAAAAAAAGCATTTGCCTAAGACATGTTTGACCACATAAATCCTTAAAGCACCAGTAATGAAATCCCCAGAGCAAGGATGTCTTGTAGACCAACTTTATTGTGAGAGATGTTTAAAGGGAATCAATTTGCATATGGGGCAAAACCCATTTTATCCCATCGTGATATGATCCTAGAGTAGTGGCAGAAACAGAAATTTGATTTGGGGGGTCACTTAGTAATTACAATCTTGCAAAAAAAAATTTCCCCCTCATAATCAATAACTATAAGACGATAATAATTATTTGAACTATTATTTATAAGCATAAAAACTTAAATATTCATTACAAAAAAAATTAACTAAACCTTTTTTATATTTTGAAAACTTTCTATTGAATGAATAATTTTATATTTATTAACACTAACACTCTTATTAAATATCTTACTAAAAGTGTAAGAGGCTATATATGAAGCCCCCCTCCTCACCACAAACCGCTCCCCAACTAAAAAACACAAACACTTTTAAGAAGGTAACATGCTGTTTTCGATACTGATACAACACGACACTACACAGACTCTTCCTAACACTTAAAGACACATGAGACACATTACAAGTTTAAATAAAATAGCTTAGAATCCAATAACAAAATGAAAAGAATGTAAATTTATACATATTCTCTTCCTTTACACTTTAAAATTATAATTTCTTACTTAAATATTCATATATATGTTATATAAATAATTATTTATCCTTAAAAAATATATGTATATATATATATAATTATATATTTTGCACGTTTCCCCTACGTATCGTGCCTTATATTTTCTGAAAATTTACGTGTTGTCGTATTCGTTGGTGTCTATGTAGTGTATGTGTCAGTGTCTGAAGAAAAAAAAAAAGAACGGGAGAAGAAGAAAATTGGAAGAGGGTGTGGCGGGGAGGGAAGAAAGGGTCTAGGGGTTGCAGATCTGGAGGAAGTGAGTGGTAGGGAGGGAGGAGAGGTGCTGGGGGCTTGTGGTGCTGGGCGACGGGGGTGCGGGTGGGACGATGGGAAGGGCAAGGGCAAGGGGGCTGGTGGGGTAGTCAAACTAGGGCGGGAAAGGACTGGATGACGGCATCAGTGGTGGTGGGCTAGTGGAGGAGGTGGGAAAGGAGGGTATAATGAAAAATTAGATATTAAACTTTTAGGGTTTATGCCTTTAATAGTAATTCAGGTCGGGATAAAATTGTAATAAAAAAATGTAGAATGCGGTGTTTCATGAGATAAATGTGTGGTGTAAATAGAATGACCCTTGACTTAAGCGTTTTTCTTATCAACACTCAAAAATGGGCACATATGGCACAATTTCTGTCAATTTAGATGGAAACAAACTAGAGCATATGAGTTACATTCATTGTTCACAGAACTCAAATTGTTATCAAGCACTATGTTTGTATGTTGCAAATGAGCAGAAGATGCATACCCCCAAGGAACATCGCCAGCGAGCATCCAATCTCCTTCTCTGTCTTCATAGGTGAGCACAAACTCAGATGATCCGTCCAATAACTTTGAGGGAGGTCCAGTTGCTTCTGTCCTTATATTATGCGCCTCCATGCTTGGTCCTAATCATAAAGATATTGTCACTCTATCATTCATGAGATGAATACACAAAGTCTGCATAAATACTAGCTAAACACCATAGTTTATCATGTCCAAAACTTAAAACCAAGACCCAAACAGTACTTCAAAAGGATTAACATTTTATGTCGACCACAAACTGAGCAGCAATTCCAAAAAAATTTAAACTTGACCAGCTGCATCCTATTTTATACAAAGTCATAGATATAGTTTGAAACTTAATCTTTGCCCATATGCAAATGCAAGAAAATCAAATGGTTTTCTGATCATTAGTGAACTGTATAGAATTAACTACCCAACTGCTATAACTAACAAAGCTAGTGGCATGCTAAGAGCCACATTTGGATTGGCTTGACCATGAAAATAGCAGTATCTATTAATCTATCCTACTGCAAATTAATTCTGAATAAACAAGCTTTTGAAGCCATAAAATAAACATCCAATAGCTCGTTAGTCTTTCCATTATTTTATTGTTTATTTGTTTCTCATGGGCTTGTTGAGGAGGGGGAGTAGACTGGAGGTGATTTGGATTCAATGAACAAATGTATCGGGAGAAGAAAAAAAAAACATTAGAAGAGAATATTCATGTCAAAATAGAAAGGAGAAGAACAACTCACGTCTCACACTGGTGGGTCTACAGAACATATCCTCCAATGTTTGTGCTAAGGTTTCATAGCAGTTATGAGCACTCAAATCCACCTTCCTTCCAATTGGAATTCCATCCATATTCACCTTCACAAACAGTGAAGTCTTCAGCTGCCTTTTCTCCTTAACATTGTTCTTGTTCTCATGGATGCCGCTGTTAGTCATATCTACCACACCATTCTTGCTTTTAGTTTTCTCTACTGTGGACTGAAATTCTTCGTTGGCGGGTAATTTTGTTTGGTTCACCATGCTGTTTATCCTATGAGCTCTTAAAGGAGGCCATCCCACAACTTGACGGCTTCAAGAATCAAATTACAATGGGGGGAAAAAATTCCCATTAGATAAGAATCAGTAATTTATGTAGCTGCAATCCAATCACCTCAACAAAATATGTTCATAACTAACATCAGCAATTACCTCGTCCACAAACAGTTAAAAGGGAAAGGATTATAGATACAAGAATTACAATAAAATGCAGCTCATTCAGTCACTCACGAAGAATGCACATAAGATCATTGGCGATCAGGCTGTGGTGCCATTAGACATCAATGAGTATCCAATGGTCTGAATATCTCCGATTTAGAATTTGGCAAGTGTCATAAGTTCTATACAATTAAGGAAAAAACACAGAAGCAATACTATGCATATATATATATATATATATATATTTCAGTCACAGGCTGATACAACTTATTAGTTTCTTATCATCATAAGACAGAATAATTAATGTTGATTTTAAATTCAGAACTGCCGCTACTGCATCATTTTGGGGTTGGGGATGTGATGAGCATTCCTTAATCACCTCTGTTGTTTGAGCAAGGGACCTCTGGGCAGCAAACCATGACCTTCACTACCTCAAAATGTCAAGCATAACTGCTGACATGAAGCTATGACAATATGAAGAGATGACATCATGAACGATATGAAGGCCTTACAAGTGCAGTTAATTTTGTGAACCAAATCGACACCCTCTCTCATGCAATGGGGACATAACAGCCTTGAACGACATATAAACTCATCAGTTTATCCTCTCTAGCCAGATTCATAGAAATGTAAACCTCAAGAAAGTGAAAAAGAACATGATTCTTTCCTTGAAGCTTGCTTTCGGGTTTACTCTCTGTCATTCATATGCGGGGTCTGGAACATGTTTTCCCTTAATCAGACAGTCCTTGTATCCAAATCCCAAATCATTGAAATAACACAAATTACTCTAAATAAGAAACAATACATCATCATTTCTCTTAATTAATTTTGCTTCCTCACCAAAAATTTTTGTGTGTAAATCTCTGTTCATGCCATATGTGGTTTTATTTGCGTCACGTGGGTACAAAATCCCAACACATACAAGATTACAGTCGAACAGAGAATAAAGAAAAACAACCCTCAAAAGAAAACTTTTATTTATTTATTTCTGGAATCAGATGCCTCCTGTAATTAAAAACTAATAACAAAAGATAATAAAGGGGAAAGAAAGACAAGACAGGGTTTGGCAAACACATAAAAAAAGAGAAGAACCAAAGATGGAAATATAAACCCATCTAAAATTTGAAGTCAAGAATCGAATGAAAACATTAAAACACACAAACAGTTATTCAGATTAGATATAAACGAACATAAATACAAACAAAGCCAAAAACCCAAAAAATAAAAAAATAAAAGTTGTGAGAGATTTGGGTGGGGGGATAAGGTGGGTGTTTACCTGACACCACCATTAGGAGGTGATGGTGCAACAGAATCAGCACTTCTCTTGGTGCCGGCGGAGAAATTAGCTTTAGTCATGGAAGAAGAAGAAGATGATGATGATGACAAAGAAGGGGAAGGGGAAGGGGAATTAGAAGAAGAAGAAGAAGGGTTTGAAGGCATCATAGAAGGGAAGTCTTGAGCAGTCAAGATCCTGGCATATTGACCCCATCGGGGTGTTGGGTTTGGGGTCAGGGATGATGATTTAGACTTCAAAGCACCACCACCACCACCAAGGCTCAAGCCAAGACCCAACTGGAGCTCAGACTCATCTGGGTGTGGGTAGGAAGAAGATTCTTCAGAAGTCAAGACGAGGTTGTCATCCATGGACACCGTCGACATAGACCCACCATTTGTCGAACCCCCAGATGACCCTCCTCCTCCACCCCCACCAGCAGTACCCAATAAACCCATATTATTAACTTCCATCACGCAACTTTGCAAACTTTATTACAACAAGTGAAGAAGAAGAAGAAGAAGAAGAAGAAGAAGAGAGAGGGATTGTTTGTTTGGTCAGGTATGGTATGGTATGGTATAGAATGGTATTCTATTATGGGTACAGGAAAAGGAAAGGTAGGTGTGGTGGTGGTAGTGGTGGGCTGGTGATGATTATGGGACGTTTGGGATGGACCCCACCTGTCGGCTTTGTGGGCGTCAACTCTCTCCTTGACTGTTTTAGGAGGATGATTATCTTTTAATTTTTAATTTATGGGAAAATTATATATATCGTTTGAGGTTTGGCTAAATTACAGATATCTCTTGAGGTTTGAGAAATTACGAATTTTCCTCTGAATGTTATATTTGCATAAGAAATTAGGGAGTAATTTGTTATGAAATATAAACCTCAGGGGGTAAATTGTTATGAAAATACAAACCTCAAGTAGCAGGATGTAATTTCTAAAACTTCAGGGAGTATCTGTAATTTAGTCAAACTTCGAAGGATATATGTAATTTGCCCTTAATTTATTTTTGAAAATCTTTTTATTTTTTATCATTTTTTTTTAAATTAATTTTTAATCAATTTTTCAAAACATTACCTTATATTTCCATCGCATCGGTTTCTCCCATCTGGTGTCCCCTCCCTTAATTATAATTTTTACTTTAAAATAATAAAATATAATATTTTATGTTGATTTAAAAATAATAATAAATAAATTACTGAATATATTTTAAAAAAATATTTCACTTTTTAATCAATAATTTGTTAGTCTTATAAATTAAACAATGATATTTTTATTTTTTTACTAAAATGAATATTTATCTTTGTTTATTTTAGTATTTATCCACTATTACCATTAAATTTAATTATTTTAACTATTTAAAAATAAAAATTAATGTAATTATATTAAAAGTATAAGATTAATTATAGTTTCTTCAAAATTTGAGAAAAGTGTGTGTAATTTACTCAAAAATGAATTAGACAAATTTTTATGATAAGAAAATTTTCAGAGCAGTGTTATATAATACATAATGGGTAAATTTTGCACCCAAAAAAGAAAAAAATGGAAGAAGTTGCACTTTCACATTTTTGTAAATAATTTCTTTATTTTCACTTTTTTATAATATCCACTGAATAATATTTAGAAGGATAAATTACTGTTCAATGATATTTTTGGAAATTTATACAAATTTATGAAATTTTTTAAATTTTAATTATTAATATTCATAAAATTTATCATTGATTTGTAATTTTTTTTAATTAAACTGCATTGATATTTCTTTCCCTCTGCATATAATTATAGTCAAAATACACTAGTCATTTTTATATTTTGTCTTTTGTATCATTTTGATTTTTGTACTTTCAATTAATTTAATTTTAATTCTTAATTTTAAATTTTATATCAATTTGATTCAATTAATGAAATTGTTAGAGTTTTTTTACGTAAAATAATAACTGAATTAGTTGAGGTTAACTAGTTAACTCAATAGCCCTGTTTGTTTTCGGAGATAGAATTGAGGAGATTCATAGTGAGGGGATTATGTAAAATTGTGTTTGTTTTGATGATAGTTGTTAGTGTAGGAATTGTTAAATTATTTTTATATAAAATAATAAAACAAATAAAAAAATATAAAAAATTAAACATTAATGTTCAAAAAAAAAATTTAATATGTAAAAAATAATAATAAAATTTCTAATCCCCTCACTATTTTTCTAATACCACCTCCATTTCCTCCATCTCAATCCCCCTTTCCAACCTCTATCTTAGACCTCGTTTGGCAAGTGACTATTTTAGCCAAAAAATCAAAAAGTTACTAAAAAAACTAAAAAACCAACAACTCATACCAAAAAATCAAAGATTCATTTTTCTCTTTACTTTTTGCACATCTTTTCGTAAAAAGTTAAAAAGTCATCCCAAACATACTAATTTTTTTTACATCACATTTTAGCCAAAAAACTAAAAAGTTACTAAAAAAGTATGTTCCTAAACGAGGCCTTAATCTCCTCCTCCATTCTAATCTCTTTCCCAACTCTTCAAACAAATACAATACTAAGGCCTTGTTTGGCATAACTAAAAAAGTTAAAAGGTCAAAAAGCCACTATAAACTAAAAAAGTTAAAAAGCCAAAAAGTCACTATCATATTTAAGTCACATCATCTTATTTAAGTTGTATCACTTCTCTATCACATCACTTCAAACCCAACACATATCCAATTCATATTTCATAAAAAGTCAAAAAGTACACTTATTTAGATCATTCAAAACAACTTTTAAATAGTCCCACTTCCATTCTAATATCATTCCATCATTTACACCCAAAACAAACAGAGCGAATGAGTTAAGTAAATTTATAATTTTACTTCTAAAAATCTAATGCATATCGTTCATAAGCATATTTTTTATATATAAAAAATTATTAATAATTATAATTATTTTGATCAAATTAAATTTAAATTATAAAAATTAAATTAATATAAAAATTAATTATCTATTTTATTCTAGAATCACCAAATAAATTGTCTCTCGGGAGAGCTACTATTAGTACAACAATCTAGGGGTAAACTAAACTAACTAGGCCTCTTGTTTCCTGCCAATCCGCTTGTTTCGTCGTTTTCTTTCCACAGAGGATTGTTCTGTTTTCTGTCCCCATTTCAATCATCATTCCTATTTCATATTTGGAAAAATCACATTATACTGTAGCAGTAGAAAAAATTATCGTATATTTTTATGTTGCAACCCCATTTCGTAGTTTGAAATGGCGTGGGTCGAAACACCCGAATTACTTTATACATCCACCACTTTTCTTTGTACATTTACCCTTTCTCTGTTCATTCCCTTCCTCTGGAAAACTCACACACACACAGAGCTCCGTTCATCCCCTTCCTTTGGTGTCATTTTTTTTTTCCAAAAGAAGTAGAAAATCAGAAGAGGAGGAGGAGGAAGAAATGAGGAGGAGGAGGAGGAAGGAGGAGAAGGACTGGAGGGGGCCCAATTATTAGGGCTGGAGGCGGAGGCGGAGGCGGGGGTCGGAGGCACGATCGGGCGGAGGCGACGAACGAGCTGCGAGCTGCGACGAGGACGGCGGGCGAAGGCGGCGGAGGCGACGAGCTCTTCTCTCCTCTCCTCTCTCTTTCTCCCTCTCTCCTCCTCTTCCCCTCTGTTCTCCTGTGTTCAACGAAGTCGCAGTATCCTTCAAGTACTGCTGGATATCTAGTATAATTCAGCCCAATGTTACGAGTAAATCGGAGATATCTTAGAACCCTTATAATTGCTTTCCAGTGTTCTACTCCCAGATTACTCGTATATCTACTTAATTTACTTACTGCATAAGCTCAAAATAAATAAATAACATACCGGATTTATTTTGTCGAACCAAATAAAATTACAAGATCAAGTCGAGTGTGTGACACTCTGTCCTTAAGACAGATTCGCCCCGCTACGGTGCTTACGGTTGAGTGGCGTCTATCTCCCAGGATACAATGATCTTCACAAATTGTAGTAGCACTCCAAACAATTTGTTCAGCGAACCAAACCTGTGTTCTAACTCTCTGATTTTTATTCTAAAACTAAAATGAAGAGTAATGCATACAAATGAAATCTGGGCAGCAAGGAAATAGATTTCAGACTGTTTTTTCCCAGGGGCAAAACTGTTGGACAGTGCTGGATTTAAATAGGGCCGAACAGGTGTAGAAGTTTGAACCAACAGATGCAAAACTGTTCCGAACAGATACAACTTCAATTCAAACAGATCTGGACAGATTTGAATTCTGTAAACTGCAGCAGTTAAACCCGAAACTGCTGGGCAGTTTCTGGAAGTTTAATAACTGAAAAACAGTGAGGAATTTCGGACTGGAAAGGAATCAAATGGACAGAAAAATTAATTCAATTTTGTTGGCACAAAATTTGAATTTAATTTTATTTAAAATTCAAATAAATTTTGTCCAAAAAATTAATATTAGAAGCGACCCGACCCACACCCGTGCACGGCCCCGCCCGACCGACCGGACGGACGGCGGCGGCGACGGCCGCGCTCGCATGTGGTGATTTTTGGGTCCAATGGGTTTAGCCCATTTTGCCCGTAACCTCCCTCTCTAAAACACTTGGGTACCCCTTGGGGCACACCCCAAGTGCCAAACCCATGCCTTATAAACCCATTCAAAACTTCCCACCAAATCAATATGGAACAAGCCTTATTTAAACCCTTAAGGATTTTTCACCAAAACTCCATTTCCATGGAGCATACTTTGGCTTCAATTCTCCATTCACCTGGTAATGGTTTTGAGCAACCAAATATACCACGTGAATCATAACGCGGCATAGAACGCGTTACCACTTTGACCCGCAAAAATCGACGCACGGATCCCATCTAAATATTAGACCAAAGTTAGGAAAAAATCTGTTATAAACCTAGATTTTTCCAAACCATTTCCAACAATCCCCCACATGAATGGAATTTGATGACAACGGAAATGCAACAATATGCAGACTTTATTGAAAGAGTATAAGTCGAAAATATCTTGCATCAGGATAGGTAGCTTTCGGCCTTGAACCTTCCCTAATGATAACCTATCGGACTTACTAGCTAACCAATGGACGCAATGCCTTAAATTGTTCAGCCGTTTATGTAAGCTAAGACAATAGATTTCACACAAAATATCTTCTAACACATTGTGGTTCTCACTGTTGTGTTCATTTTGGCCTTGAACGCTCCTGGTTTTCATAAGTGTTTCTAGAGAATTTAGCCTCTTCATTCTCATAGAACCGGCCCCAGTTCAACACTCATATAGGTGATTCTTATTGTGAGTATCTCCTTATACTCGTCTTAATTTTATGCCTTAATCAAGATATAAGTAATCATTAAAAGCAGAGCTTATCCTTATGCCCCTACAGACAACATATGTTGCAGATATCACTCTCACCATAGGAATGGGTAGGGAATTTTAATCCCTTGGTGATTTCTGGCAAACCACACATAACTTAGTTGTCCCTTTAAACTTAGTTCTTAGGATCTCCAGTCATATAAGTAAGGTTACCATTATGATGACTCTTATGTAATAGGCTTTAATCATATCCCCTTCGATGAA